TAACACTTTTTTATTGGATAATGTTCGCTCTTACTGGCACTTTGCTAATACATAGGTTAAATTATTTCATCAAGTAGTTATACCGTTAGAATTGCATGCTAGTAAATGATGGGATAATAGACCATGTAGGTATGTTTTCCGAAAGTTGGAGAGTACTTTGTGTCATAGCATTATGTAATATTAACATCACATGAAGACATCATTGTGAGGCCTAACTGTATAAATCAATTCCTAGAAATGAGGCTGGGAGATTGATCCTGTACATTAGTAAGTAATAACAAAATGTTAGTGTTTTTAACATTGTCATTGTGCATTTTATATAACTGTATTACATATTATCAATTTTTAGGCCGGTTAAGCTCATTCATTTGTGGAACTAATGATTTAAATTTAAATATGTGAAACCTGTAGGTATATTATGGAATGTTAGACTTATTTTTATGTGAAACAATAATTAATAAATTAATTTATTTTATGGATTGTATTTTGCATAAAATTTTTGTTGGCTCAAATAATATATCTTTCAGTAAATTTCAATGCTGTTCTTTTATCTTTTAGTAACTATGGTATGAAATATTTTTTTACAACCATTCAATAAATTTGTTTCATCACTGCCAAAACAGATTCCAACATTACTAAATAAACCTGTTTCTTGAAATATTGTGGTCTCAGTTGTATGATAATTTAATAGTATTTATCATTATATAATATGATGAAGATTCTATGATAAAGGTCTCTTATGTTATTATTTTAGTAAACTATAGTAAAATATGCATGGTTCTTTTTATTTTTACCCCTACCCAATGGATAATAAAAGAAAATCATATGGTTATGAAATCCACTATAATTATTAAACTGATATAATCTTTGAATAAATAACTTATTGTCAATTTATCATGGTAATTATAATAATTACAAAATTTTTAAATTTTATACATTTTAAAATAATTTGTTATTTGTAATGTAAAGATTAAAGAGCTTTTAGTTAAGTTTGCATCTTTCTTCTAAAAAAGAGGTAGAAGTAGTGAGATTAAAATTATTAGATATTTTGCTATTCTCTACAGACTTCAAACAGGAGGAGGTACTCAATTTGACCATATGTTCTTTTTTTGCGTGTTACCTCATAACTTCTTTCTTGGTCAATCAATTTCGATGATTCTTTTTTTATTTGAAAGCTGGTGCTTTTTCATATGGTCCCATATAAATTTGATCAATGTCTGACCAATAGTTTTTGAGTTATTCTTAATAATTTATATTAAGTCGGTTGTACAAAATGTTTAATTTTAAATTATCTAAAATATGCTATTATGTAGACAAAACAAGATTCATGAAGCATGTGTTCATATTTTTATTTTACAAGGAAAATTCGAGAGTAATGAAAAAAAATTATGCAAATAGCATTTTCGATATAAATAATAATATTCTATTCTATAGTATGTACGTCACTGATAGTGGACTTGACCTAAAGAATATGAATTGATATCAATTTGAGAAGTTTAGTAGGTAAACAAACAATTACCAATGTTATATCATATATCACAAATAATGTATTATCTTTCCATTGCATAATATATAAGAGATAAGAATTGAATACGCAAGACCCTATAGTATGTTATAAAAATACAATCCATTTCAGTCACAAGCTATCTGCTTTACATATGTATAGACTGAAACATGTTATCAACAACATCCATCATACCATTTGCAAAATCAATATCCTGTTGCTTAAATATTTTCTTGCAGTATTAATTACATTGAAATTTATCAACATATGTTTTGTACAGACCTTTTATATTCTAGAAATATAATAAAAATCAACAAAAGCATAAGCTATATTATTTTACATATTTACTAAAATTAAACAATACATAACCTCAATGCGGGTGCCACATAAATAATTTGATAATGTAAAAGATTAAGACATTATAAATACTACCTATTGGATACATAGCACATGGAAAGTAGAATGGCATGAGTGCACTTTAGTACATTTACCTTATGCATAATATAAGAATACCAGGTCATTTTTAACTAACACAAAAAATTTGTATAGCTGCCATTTACAAATGTCTTTATATAAAGGGTCTATTTTATTGGGCAGGGATATAAATAAGCATTGAATTTGAGCCTGCCTACTGATGGTATAAGCAACCTTTAATACATATTTTCATGAATGATGTTGAAGTTATTGCAATAACATTATAAATACTTTTAACTAAACTATGAATTAGTTTAGTGCGCATTATATAGAAGACACTATGCTAAATGTTGGCATTGAAATGTACAGTGGGTGTAATTAACATATTCTTCAGAGTAAATGCTTAGTACAGAACAGAAATTGTTAGAAATTGTAAAAATACAGTAGATACATCATTTATTCACTCATCTCAGAAATCACAAGTAGTATATATGGTCACAATTATTATATCTCTAACCCAAAATATTTCTTATCTCACTCCTTACATAGAAAAGCTACCCCCCACTACCACAATTATTAATACACATGATGTTAACATTTTGTTTTATAGGTACTTGAGAACATATATACAAATAATATTAATGTAGTGGCGGTATAAAGTTATCCACTACGCCATATCATCCAGTGGTTGTCGTAAGAGGGAAACAAATCAGGAGATAGGCAGCAATGTCTTCCTAATAATGACTAAAAATAAAAAATCTGTGGTTGCCAACACACTAGCCAGGCATGGCAACTATGACAAATGTCCCCCCCCAATGAGGCAATCTATGGGGGAGGGCTATGTTCAGCAGTGGACTTTAATAGGCTGTAACAGTAATGATATTATTAGTACAGTAGAAACTCGATTATCCAGCTCTCAGTTATACGGATTCGCGATTATCCAAACTATCAACCGTGACCAATTAAATAATTAAGTCATATTGAGCATTGAGTTACAAAATGTTTAACATAATATGTACTACAAGTCGAATTTATGCAAGCACGAACGTGTTGAGATTGGCGAAACTTTTAGAAAATGCTTTGTATTGTTGGTTTTTACAAAAACAATCAACTGGGCGACCGATATCTGGCCTAGCCCTTTGCTCTGTGAAAAAGCATTACAGTTAAATTAAAAAAAATATGGCGATGAATCGTTTGTCGTAAGTAACGGATAGTTATACAGATATGAATCTCGTCATGGAATTCGTGAATTGGAAATACAAGGTGAAAAAATGTCAGATAATATAGACGCAGCAAACTCTTTCAAAGATGATTTTAAGAAAAAATTGGATGAAAGTAACTACAACTTGGATTTTTGTCTCTGTTCTCCTCCTAATTTTGGTTTTATAGGGCGATAAAGCTTAATGTGACCATATTACCCTCATGTGCTTACTATAATATCAACTGTCAAAATGGCGTCGATAAAGCTGCGGCCTTTTGACCCTTTATTATTTGAATGACTGATGAAGAGCTATCGTATCACAAAGCCATCTATGAAAATTAGGCTGTAGTTTTTGAGTTATAAGAAAGTGACCATATTAACCGGATGACCATATTACCCTCATGTACTCTATTCATTGACTGGTATGACAACACTTTTATCCCTGAAGTAAAAAAAAGATAAAACGAAATAGGCAAAGAAGAAAATTAATGTAGAAGTTGTTTTATCATTTTTTAAGAAAATGAATTTAAAGGAGTGTTGTTTCATGGTTGTAGATACGTGGTATTTGATTGAAAGGAAGACTTTAAATAAGGCTTGGAACAGAGTACTTAATCGGGAGAATGAAAATTTAATAACCAATACGGATGATTCTATTTTGAATGATATAAATGAGCTAATGATAAAGATACAAATATGCCAGGATTGTGATGATGATGATATGAAAGAGTGGGTTGCTTGTGACATTAATGATTGAGGCTTTCAGAGTATGTTGGATGACGAAATCGTAGAAAACATATTGCAGATAAATGAACAGCGAGAAACGCAAGATGAAACAGAAGAAAATCTAGACGTGGAAAATAAAGCAGGACCATCTCTTGATTAAGCACTACAGGCCCTAGAAACAGCTCTTAAGTGGTTTAAAGAAACAGAGAGGGATACTGTGAGTTTACTACAGCTGAAACAAATTGGTGATAGAGCAGCAATGAAGAGAAAAAGTGGCTTACGTCAAATGACAATTACCAAATATTTTAAACAAAATTAAACTTGCTATTTTATTTCATGATTACCAAATGCAAATTAGCAAGAATATTCATGATTGAGGCTGCAGTATCTTAGTATGTTTGTGTAATCTACGAAAATATGTATGTATAAATACGTGCATACGTCGTATGTTGGCAAATGTATCTCTTAATAATTTCTTATCATATGTACTATATGCACAAAATCCACTTTTCTTCATACATTAGATTATCCTTTCGATTATCCGAATCCCTAACAATTAGTCCGGTTAATCGAGTTTCCACTGTATTTGCTTTTTCCTGCCCCAGAAATAGACTACATACATTTATTATATGATTTATTTATTTAATCTATAATACATTATTATCCAAACAGTCTTTACAGCATTTTAAAAGAACAGGAAGAGCGAGGAGGATTCCATAGAGTAATTTTATATAAAATTACTTTTTCTGAAAATAATAACTACAATATTTTACATAGTACCTACACAAGTAACATTAAACAAGTAACATTTTTAAAAAAGCAAATATTTTCAATTGAATTAAATTAAGTAGTTAGTTATTATTATTTTTTGGTCCAAAATAAACTTCTATTCTTATATTATGAATATATTTCTATATGCAATGCCTAAGAATGATTAAACAGATAGGCATCTTACAAAATGTATACTATGAAGACTTGATATTTTTAAATTCATTTTAACTATGTATAAATTAATAATTTCCAATAACAAAGCATGTATATTGCATTTCAATATTGTAAAGACAGTCTATGTGCATCACCAATCTTCACAAGCTTAATTAATAAGTACACATTAATAATAATCTATTATTATCATTATTGTATTGTTGAAGCTTTGTTTTAATAAAGAAATGGCAATCTATTTGCAAATAAACAGGTAATTATGTATAACATACCAAAATAGAAATTCAATCTGGCTGTTTGCCGTGGCACATATTGCATTGTTTCTGGGCATCTAAACCTCCTTTCAATATCAAATGCTCGAGGCAAAGTTAACATAGGCAACAAGAACCAAAGAGAGCACCTGACAGATGCAACTACAAACATTATATATGGTGTAAACAATAGAAATGCATACAACAAATATGAAGCAGTTTTACCAATTAAAATAGCTAATGTTACAATTTCGGCTTTACTGTCTATTTCAAGATCTCTGGTATTGTTACTATGTAAGATAGCCTCAGTGTTAAGAGCAAGAGGTATTGCATAATAAATAATAGGCCAGTCCACCCTTCCAGTCTGAGCTAAGAAGGAAAAAACAACAGCCACTGGTCCAAATATGACTAGAACAACAATATCACCAAGAGCTATATATTTCAAACCAATGCCACCAGTATAAAGAAATGATGATGATAAACCTCCAAAATAAACTAAGGCCAAATGTTCCATTCTGGCTGGTGACAAAATAACTAAAAGCATAAAGAAAGCGCAACCAGCCATGTACAGTATAGCTCCTAGTGACACAACTTCATCAATGCTTAATATACGATCAACAAGAGTTCTATCATCTGATTTACGGTTATCAATTCCTTTTACGAAATCAAAGTACGTGTTTACAACATTACCGGCACAATGTACGGGAATAACTGTACAAAGCGTGAGGAGTAACGTCACCCAGCTGAATCCACTTTCCCCTGGTAGTCTATATGATAGTGCTGCTCCTAATAAGGTAGGCAACAAGCTTCCACTCAGAGACCATGGCCGTAAAGCTAGCACGTAGGTTTTAACTTTCATAAGCGGGTTTCTGACAGATTGCGTTTCTTCTTTCGGTTGTTGTAGAAGATTTCCATCCACTGTAGCCATATCATCGTCGTTTCTTTTATTAGTTCTCATTTTTATATTGCATATACTGCAGACAAAGTCAATAACCTCTAAAATAAATTTGTTACACGTAACAGCACAGATATGAAAATTTAGGTTAATACATTTTGAGTACTAACTGCCAGTTTAAAACTATGTAAATATCATAAAATATTAAGCCTGAATAATCATTAAAGTTAAAATTTAAGGTCAACCGTTATATTCACAACACAGAACACAGATATTTATTTATAAATATAAAATTCAAAGAGATAACATCTTAAATTTTTTAACTAAAATTTAGGCTTGGATGCTTGTCTTTTAAGCCATATCTTCATTTATCTCCGTATCAAGTGATAATAATCCTTTATAATACACTGCTTCACAATATGATGAGAAGTCACATTGCATAGTTTTTGGGAGATTTTGAGGGCAAATTAAGCCAGGAGACCATATAGATAATACACAGAACCAGGGACAGCAGATAGTTGGCGACAGTATCTCAAGGCGCCTACGCCTAAGCAGACAAACACCTTATCTTGAGATTCATTGACATCACCATCGGAGCACTTGTTTTATCGTTTTCACTAATAGTTCCCATGCACAGACATTTAATACACAAAATCGCTCCACTTTTACATATTATCAGAATCCACTTCAAATAATAATACAGAAGCAGTAATCCGTCACCGGTTAAGTTCCTGCCAATACTCCCCAAATATAGAATCACTTTTCCTCTAACAGAGATTATTATTATAGGTCGTCATTGTTTGTCGTCCTCTAAACCTCTTAACCGGTTCAGTGAGGGCGACACGCCAGGCGTGCCATCGATTACTTTTGTAAGTCTTTTTAAAAATCGTTATAACTCGCTCAAATTGCTTTTTTGGAAAATTTATCCAGAACAAAATATTCATTATTTTGCGAGTAGTTCATGCATGCAGTTTCGTTTCTGAATATTTTGAAAATTTGAAATTTTTAGGGGGTAGGACAACCTTTTTTTAACGTGTACATGGTACTATTTTTATTTTGTAGGTTTTAAATCATGTTATGGAAAAATTGTCTAATAAGTAACAAATAATAGCACTCATTGCGATCGCTCACAAACTCAAGTTGTAAATAAATTTCTGGAAGTCTCCTGTTAAAAAAAACAATGCGTTTGTCTTATTGTTTAATTTTGCTTAAAATGGTTGAACTGCCCTCTTATTACTATCATATGGCCGAATAGACCTACGAAGTACCATGTGCTCTTGTGATATGGTATAAGGTTTATTTTTGCTTGAAACAGTTCGAAACCGTTCATGCATAAAAAAAGTTCGCTAATAAATAGTCTTTTGTTAATCCGCCGCCGTATAGTGTCTGCGTTTTTTTCCTTTTCAAAACACTTGTTTTGCTATTCTTACTAATTAGACGTTTTCAGATCGACTTTACTTTTACATTTGTATAACATTAAATAATATTTAACATTTGTAAATATCAATGAATGATATACCTTATTTCTTTTTTTTTTTCAAATTAGGGTTCTTTATTGTTTGATATTTACAAATGTTATTATTAGGTGAAAATTTAATTTAATAAAAATCAAGGTTTACAGGGTGATTTAGCTGTACCTACTTATATAAATGATTTTTTTATAACAACAAAAAATAGTACAAAAGGTTTGTAATCTCTTCATAAAAAAAGTCACTTTCATTTTGCTTAAAATGGTTGAACTGCCCTCTTATTACTATCATATGGCCGAATAGACCTACGAAGTACCATGTGCTCTTGTGATATGGTATAAGGTTTATTTTTGCTTGAAACAGTTCGAAACCGTTCATGCATAAAAAAAGTTCGCTAATAAATAGTCTTTTGTTAATCCGCCGCCGTATAGCGCCGGCGTTTTTTTCCTTTTCAAAACACTTGTTTTGCTATTCTTACTAATTAGACGTTTTCAGATCGACTTTACTTTTACATTTGTATAACATTAAATAATATTTAGCATTTGTAAATATCAATGAATGATATACCTTATTTCTTTTTTTTTCAAATTAGGGTTCTTCATTGTTTGATATTTACAAATGTTATTATTAGGTGAAAATTTAATTTAATAAAAATCAAGGTTTACAGGGTGATTTAGCTGTACCTACTTATATAAATGATTCTTTTATAACAACAAAAAATAGTACAAAAGGTTTGTAATCTCTTCATAAAAAAAGTCACTTTCACTCAATTTCAAAGAAAACGCGTAAAAAAACACGTAGTTACCCACTAAAAACAAGTATCCTTCCATTTGTAACTTATGTTTGATGTCAAATAAACTTAATTAGGTCTAAACAAGTAAAAAAAGCATAAAAAAGAACATTACTTTTACACATGGCGGATGGCACAATAGGCGTGTCATGAAATATTTGTTCGCCGCCACAGCTAAAAGTTGTCGAAAATTGGTGCCGCAACGAATCAGTTAAGGACCAAAGAGTATATATATATAATCACTATGTTTTAAGGACAGTTCTTGTTGCTCAGTATTGCTCTTTGCAAAAGAACTTTGGATAAAAAAGGACCTTTATAGTAAAGTCTAGTAGCCGTGACACCCATGGTAAACGTAGGGCGACTCACACAGCTGGCCCAAAGCGAAGGGCTGGCCCATGGTGGTCGCTCTGAGTGGGCTTGTCGAGCCCTTGGATGCGTGTTATTCAGCTGCGGCTAGAGGACAGTCCTATCTCTATATTGCTGCAGCCGAGGTGGAGTCGCAAGGGAAGAGGATTGTTGGTATCCTATCATAAGGCGCCACTCGACTACTCGTAACTTCCGCGACTTTGGCGGGACTGTACCACTTAGTTTTTCCAAGTGTTCGTTCTTTTTTGGCTCCATAGCCTCCACATATAGGGCTCGGGAAGTCGGGGACGGAAGTCCTCAACTAAGGAGGGGTCCTCGCTGGTGGGGCCGCGGATGTGCATGAAAGGGTTTCCGGTGCCCTGTCAATGTGTGGTGAAGGTGAGAGTGAGAGGAACATCATGGGGTTTTAGTAGTGCCTAATGCAGGTATAATCTGTCAAGAAAGTCATGAAAAGAATATTATGGAACTACTGCTTTCGCTTGCACTGGCAACAATAAATTATTGTCAAACTGAGTAACTCAGCTGTCATATTGTAGCTTTGTAGTTGATGTGCTCTAAGATTTTTTGTTGTATTTCGAGTTGTTCTTATCGTATGACTGTTTAGTCTTTAGAGATCAAAAATGAAACGCAGTGTTTACAAGAGCGGTACCAGACAAGTCATATTTAAAGTGTTTCAAGAGTGCATGGCCGAATTTCAAGCGGGAAAGTTTCTTTCAGATTTAAACGATGTTTACATCTGAACAGCAAAGATAACTGGTACGTACATGTATTTTAATGTTAAACACATTAAAAAAAACTGTAATCTCGTATCTATCATTTGTTTTTAAGTATAATTTATCCGTTTTATTGCATTGTTTACAAATAGTTGAGGTTATGAAATTTATTTAAGAATTATATTATACTACATAGTCAATAATTTTGATCCTTTTGTATTATTTGTTTAGATATGAATAAGGTATTTATTATTTACGTGCCTATATTGGTTTCAGGTGTTTCTGAAAGCACAATTCGGCGCATAGTGGACGACGATGAATATTTTGCCCGTGGAGGATCTCTGTATAATGATATAGACAAACTTGTCATCTCAGTAAGTGAGATGATACTTCCAGTGAATCTAAAGAGTCAAAAATGGACCAATTTAATTACGCAGGAGCTTCAGGTAACATTTCGGGAGTTGAATACCTCGACTCAGATTATTTGGACTCAGATTAATAATCAAAATATAATATTTATGTACCAACATTTTGTTTGTTTTATTTTTGCACCTTGGGTGTCTGCTGTCTGTCAAGTCTGGTCTTGTGTAAAACCTGCTTTCCCTAATTACTTGTAGGATACACAGTCAAATTATCTCAATTATTGAGTATGTATGTGAATTTAGCTAATTACTGTTGCTGGGATTTAAAAGGGTCAAAGATTACGCAATAAAAGCGTGTTCTTGAAAAAATATGACAGTAAAGGGACCATAATATTAAATCAGTTTATAAAATAAAATAAAAAGTATCAAAACTTTTCGGATGCCGTATAAAAGATAGTGGCGCCTTCCTTTTTTTCATGAGTTTCTTGACAGACTGTATGCATAAGCATTTTGTCATTTGAAACCCGGAACAAAATCTCTTCTGTAGTTACGAATAAAAACGTGGATAGATCAACGCAGCGTCGATTCTTGTTTTATATTAGGTATAAAGGTTGCGTCGAAGGCCTAGGTAATAATTGATACATTTATTTATTGTATGGCATTATATTAATATGATACATAAATAGACTGGACCTTAAGCGTAGGCCTGGGTATAGAATTTTTACCGATATATTTTTTCACACTGTTTTATCTCTATTATTAGTTCCGTGGACGTATGGAGTGTAGAGTAGAAGGAGAACCATCTTATAAGGTGCGAAAGTTGAAAAAGTGTCCCAATATATACTGAAAATAGAGGTTCCAAAACCTACCACAATAGCGCTGGCGTCTGAAAAACTACGATATGAATATAGCTGTTGTAGACGGAGTGAAGTCAGCTGAATTAAAATATTTAAAAAATTTCATGACTAGAGTAGTTAGTAAAATGCCAGTATACAAAACCTCGACTATTTACGTAGTACAAAACCAAGCGGATTGGTCGGTCCTTGTTTATTTCTCCATCTTATTCTAATAAATTTTGGCGCTTTTTTTTAAATTTATCCTATGCTACTACAGCGCCACCCTTATTGGACGCGTTTTTAGGGACACTTTTCATATACAGAGATGGTTCTCCTTCTACTCTACACTCCATACGTGGACGTTAACTTCAGCTATCAGCGCCAAAATGTTTCTTTTTTCTTTTATAACTGGCTTTACGGCTCTGGGTTCTAGCCCTTCTGAGCCTAAAGTTACAATGTTTATTTATCCTTCATAGTACACTGCTTCACAATATTATGTTGATGCGTCACATTGTGCAGCCCGTGGAAGATTTTGACGGGACTTGAGCCAGCAGACAGGTGACAGTTGGCGATGGTATCTTAAGGCGTCTAAGCAGACAGACACCTTATCTTAAGAATTACATCACTAAAGAATTACATCATTAGAGCACTTATTTCACCGTTTCCGCTAATAGTTCACATGCGCCGACACGTAATACAAAAAAATCGCACCAATTTACATATAAAAAACCACTTCAAAACATTATTTAAACAATAATACAGAAGCAGCAAACCGCCGCCGGTCAAGATCCCGCCAAAACTCCAGCGTAGCTTGCTACATATATATTTATCTATGCTCCAGCGCCAAAATGACGAAAATCAAACCACAGAGTACTTTGGCTTTTTTTAAACTGGCTGCTCTGGGTTCTAGCCTTTCTGAGCCTAGTACTTTGGCATATAACCCAATACATAGATTACTGTATATATACTAGAGACCACAGAGTACATTATATATAGGGAACTAGAGACCCAATATAACCTAAATCCTAAATTCCTAAACCAACCTAAATAAACACATAGGAATCAAAATAACACGTCCGATTGCTACATTTTAATCGGTAAGTTATGTAAATTTTACAAGCTTATACGTAACAAATACTTAATTTTTGTTTTTTGTGAGTGTAGTGAATAGCGATTTATATAGATACTTTGATAAATAGCAATGAAATTAGATACGTACCTAAGATTTAAAACAGGGATTTCTTTTCTTATTGTTAGTTCTTGTTTATATCATATTACAAGGTTTTTATCTTAATAGAATACTATGAATATATGGTTACGATAGTAATAATAACAAAACAGAGTAACCGACCTAGCCAAACGGATCAGTAAGATGAAATGACAATGGGCCGGCCATATAGATCGAAGAACCGACAACTAATGCAGACAAAAGTTCTCAAGTGGCAACTTTATAGTGGAAAGTGATGTAAAGAGCCACCTCCACTAGTCGAGAGTGACAAATTGAAGTCTAGGGATACTAGTAGCTTAGGACCGTGCTTTGTGTTATTCCTTGGGGGAGTTCTATGTTCAGTAGTGGACTTGTGATGCTGTAATGCTGTTGATGATAAATAATATTAAGAGGCGTCTCGTCTTTAATAATCTACATAAATTACATGACTGTTGTTCTACCTAGTCAGTTTCTAATAACATAAGTGTTATTAGAAATTAATTTTTTTTAAAGTAAGTATACTCTGTGTTTTTACCCTTTCCCTGTTACAGAAATCTTAAACAAAATGAATTGTTTTGTGTTTATATAGACACAATTATAATATAATATATAAAAACACTGTCTATGATATCACAGACAGGGCTGAACAGGACTAAAGTTTCTAATATATTATCATATAGCCATGCTGTTGATAAAGTGTTTTAGTAGCCTTTTAATTTAATCAACCTATAAGTTATAGCAACCAGCACTAATTTGGTACTGTAGTAATTATATATAACAAATTAGTAAAATAATATTAAATATTTTGAATTAATGAGTCCTAAGAACATAATATGTGTTGGCAATGACATTTTTAATTTTAATTACAAAATGAAATTACTGTTTATCATCATCATCATTACAGCCCTTCATAAGGCCACTGCTGAACCCCCAAGGAATGCCACAAAGCACAGTCCTGAGCCACCTGCATCCATCAACTTCCTGTATATCTTACCAGGTTGTCACTCCATCCAGTGGGGGGTCACCCTACACTTCGCCTACCGGTACGAGGTTGCCACTCGAGAACCTTTTTTCCCCATCGGTTGTCCGTTCTTCGAGGTATGTGGCCAGCCCATTGCAACTTCAGCTTACTAATCTGTTGGGATGAATTTAATTAATTTAATTAAAATTATTGTTAACAAAGAAAAATATTAAGAAAAAAATTCAAGAATTTTAATTACTTTATAGTTAATGAACACTTAATATACAATTCAGTATGTACAGAATGTTTAAAAATAATGAATAAATATTATGACATATTATCACTGTAAAGATGCACAAATGTAGTTTATTATATCAAATCGTTTTTAAATTGCCTCCATTATAATTATTTATCAATTATATTTAATATATTATTAATAAGTTTTAATTTAAAGCAAGTTTCTCTTCTTTATTCATATTTATAATTTTTCCATTTTATGAAACCTATAGGAATACCTATGCAATCTCCAATACGGCTATAGCTGCACCTTTTGCAGCATCCCCACCGGATGTAAATTCTAGTGGCAAGCTATAATAATGTTCGACTGCTCTTTGCAAAACCGGATTTCTAGATAACCCAGAACCATTACCGACAATTCTTTTGATATTTGCATTTTGCAAAATTTGTTTTGGCATCATAATATGCAAGTTGTCGATTAAACTGTCACACAAAGATTTGAAAACATGCCCTAGCTGAATGTTTGAGAGATCGATGTTATCAACAGCTGCCTTTGATGCAGGTGCGTGTCTTTCACCTAACAAATGTGGACATATTTTCATTGTGGAAGATACTGGTGCTTCCAAGCCAAGAGTGATTAATTTCTCCCAAACTTTTGACTGTGGAATGGGAAATCCAAATTCAAGCATCCACTGCTGGAGCATTTTAACAAAAGTGGCAAGAACATTTCCACCATTTAAAGAGGCTGCTACTACTAAATAAGAATTTTTAAAATATGGCAAGTGCTCAACAGTCTTACATCCTAAATCTTCAATATTTTTAACTACAAAAGCAAGTTGAGCAGACGTGGATATATTTAAAACAGCATCCTCTTTGCTCTCTAATGTTGCAATGATGGAACATTGTAGATCTCCTAAGGCTGCTCCTACGGGTGTGCCTTCTGGAATCCCATTCCAGGAGGCATTTAGCACTCCTGCAATTTCACCACTTTTTACAACTTTAGGCAAGAGATTGACTGGAAAATTGATGGACTTAAGAATATCGTAATTCCATTCATTTTTTTCTGTGTTATAATAGCCCCAACTAGCTGCATTTTGGTTGGACATAATTGGATTCTCCAAGTTGCAGAGCATAGCTACCACAAAGTCTTGGACAGTTGCAGAGTACCTATAATTCTTTAGTTTTTCTGGCTTATGTTTAAGCATCCATAGTAATGTTGCGCATCCATAACCTGAATAGCAATTTAGATGTGATTCAGGTTTTGGCAATGAGTCTAAAAATTCTGGCTTACACCTTGTATCTTGCCATGTGTATAAGGCAGACATTTTTTCTCTGGTAGCTTCATAACGCATTACTACTCCATCCTTTTCTACTTTTTCCCAAGCTCTGAAAAAATAATAATTGCAATTTATGCCTAATATTCTTTTACGGAATTACAGCATGTAAAATAACATATTAAAAAAATATTAACCCTTTATTCCATAATACAACACCGTGCATCTGACCACAGACGCCAATCTTTGTGACATGTCGTAAAACATCTCTCGGTAGCCGGGACACGCAGTAGTGGACAGCTGATACTATTTTAGGAACATCCTGTTTATTCCCTTCTATGCCTTGATCACTTGGTATATTCGCGGCAGTATCTTTACTCTGTTTCGCGACTATTTCTTTGGTTTTTGGATCGTAAACACACACTTTCACTGAAGTTGTACCTATATCCATGCCCAATATGTACTGTTTGTCTGACATTTTGTACTTCTAAAAAAGTAAACCAACACTTTCGTTTTGAGTATACCGCCGTATTTACGTTGACACCGGACGCTCTCGTTGTTTGATTCGCTCTCTTGCACTAGCGTTATAACGAGAATTTATTAACAGGTCCGCTCCGCACCGTAGCTGCGTCGAAATACTTGCGGCTTGCGCCGCGTCTTGTCTAGTTACGTAAATTCCGTGTGTATATGACATACATCATCGAGTGGCTGATTTTATTATCGTTTACCAATGCGCGTCAGGGGCTTACTGTTAATAAAATGTAATAAACTCTTGTCGCTATTATCTCTGTGATAAAGAGTCGAAAATTGTTTTTGTCTTAATGATTTACATCATAAAAATTTAACCACTTTGTGGTTAATATATAAAAAAATAACTGTAAAGTAATTTATTTTTTTCCAAGGTAGTTTAAAACAAAGAACTCTGTAACGACTAATAACTCATTTAAGCTATCGTCATTTTGCAAATCTTTATAATGGGTAAATTAACCCTTTCCTTGTCCCGTGAATCATATAAGATGAACATTTCAATTGTTTAACTATTGTCTGTTTCGCGGACGACGAAACTGTTAAGTATATATTCAAGGTCTTTATTCTATACCGTGTGGGCATAAATTGCATATAAACAAAAATTAAAAACCCTAACAGTTATTTTTGTAAACCATTAGACATTAGTTCCTGCGAGAATCAAACCCGCGAAATAAAAGCTTATTATGCCACTGCGCTCCCGAAACGTCATTTTTGTTGAGTATGTCCAACGTTTGTAGGTACGAGTACATATGTTCAAGTTTCCGTTATTGATCTCGTATTTTTAGCCGAATTAAAAAAAAAGAGCTTCTCAATACGACTATTTGTTTTCTTTGTACTATGTTACGCGATATCTTCTTCGCCATCCGTGTACGAGTTTTTAAATATTTTTTAGATAGGTTATACTTCAAGGGTGGCCCCATGTAAATGTGGGGAACAAATTCTACCCCTAAAGGTGGAAAATACGATGAAGTTATAATGTAATAGTGTAGTGGCGGTGTATGAATATCCCCTCGTCGTGCCATAGGTATCGTAAAAGCGAAACTGAAACAGGAGATGGGCAGTAGCATCATCCCAATTACAACTCGAAATCATTAATAAACTGCATGGTTACTATATTAAAATCCCCCTTGAGACAACCTATGTTCAATAGAGGAATGATTATAACGTAATTATTTGACGACATTCTAGTTGCTGATGATATTTCATAGTCCACTCAAAATGGGTCGGATATAAACTTTTTTTTTATAGAATAAGGGTGACAAACGAGCACACACTCCACCTGATGGTAAGTGGTTGCTGTGCCCCATAGACATCTACATCTATCTTCGTTTGAGAATTAAAATGCAGATGCGTTGTCAGCCGTGAGGACTAAGATGGAATGCCTCATTTCCAGTAAAAAGGGTCTCCGGTTCTCTACATTCACCATACGAAACAAAGGAGCATTAAGCTGCTATTTTACGCTGGTATTCTGTAAGAACGTGGTCCATCCCTGGTTGAGCCGACCCATTCGTGCTACAACCATACTATTAATGTATTAATATAACTGCAGCAAGGCTCTACCGTTCTTTGATGAGGCTTTCACTTTTTATCAATAATTTAATTTTCAACATAAATGCTTATAATTGTACTTATGTAGTACACATTACTTCAGGTGATATGTAAAAAACGTACGTAGTAGCGAACTCAGATTAATTTAATTCTTTATTTTAATAAAGTTTAAAACTAGTAATTCGCTCCCATTGATTTAAAAGTACGCAGAATATATATTATGTCAATGTTCGCCCCGTTATCTCAAGTGTATGATCAAGTAGTAGGCAAAACCTACAACTAGAGATCAACTGTTATCAAGTATTAGGTAAAACTTACACTTGATCACAAAACGCTAACATTTCTCTACTATGAAGATCTTTAATAAGAAATTCTTTAAATATCGAAAACGTTTTTGTCTATATTACATTTTATAATAACAATTAATTAATAATTTATAATTCAAAAATTCTAGGCAAGAGTGAGTGCATTGGACCATCTTTGGCTACATCGCCACTTATCATCTGGTAGGATAGTAGTCAAGCACTAACTTATAATATTTAAAAAAAAAAACTGAATTTAACTTGAATCAAGAAACTTCACTTTTCCGAAATCCAGAAAAAATTTCTTGTAGAAGTTCATAATTAACAATAAAATGTCTACTTTTATGGAAAGGGTGTATTAAAGTTTTTTTATTGTATTATTGTATTGTTGCCTTGTTAGCATAGCAAATTCAGTTAATTATTATAAAAGATGTTAGATACAATATTACTTTTTGCCGTTAGAGTACAGACGTGAAATCAATGATAATCTATTTATTGACCGAAGCTACTTGAACCAATTGAATCAGATTTAGACAAAGACCCTTGTAATATTATACCTCTTGCTTCAACAAATTATAGAAGAAATTCCTTCTGCGTAGCGCAATATAAGCTTTCATCTGTATTAGATGACATATTTTCTTTTAGTTCGAAATCTGTAAGAAACCTAATGAACAGATGGTAAACAGTTCTCTATTCACAACTGCGGCTAGCCGGCTAGCAAAACTCAAACTGCAAGCTACTTTGTATCACGGCAGATTAAACATTGCGGTTTTTGTCGTTTTCTTGTATTTTAAATTTTTTTTTGTTAAACTGAAGTTATCAGCGAGCCGATAGACCACCTGATGGTAAGTGCGTCTCTACACTCTTAAAGGCCAGTTTTCACTTTGATTAGTGATTAGTGCAGGTGCTCAGTGTTTAGGAGTAAACACGTGTGGACAGCGATTGATTAGTGGAAGTGATTAATAACCTGTGTAGTAAAGTGATTAGAAGCGTGTTCTATTTTTTTGCGAGTGAACTGCGAGTGTCACGCCCCGCGCGCCCTTCCTTTCCCCTCAGCAGCATGCCTGCCACTAAACACGTTTGGACAGCAGTGCTAAGCTGCTAAGTGTTTAGCGTTTAGCGACAGACGCTCGCTTCTGTTAAAAAAATGTCCATACTTCCTGGTCGACTGCTAACAACTGAATTTACCAAACACAGCTACTAAACACAATGGGACACTACTTACACAACACACCTGCACTAATCAACCGCAATTACTAATCACCTGCACTCGCACTAATCAAAGTGAATACAGGCCTTTAGATCGGAACAAAGCATTACAGGCACTGCTATTTGGTAGCAGAACAGTCGTAAAATTAAAAATTTTGTACAACCGGGTTCAATATAAATTATTAAGGATAACTCAAAAACTACTGGCAAGACCTTGACCACATTTATATGGGGCCACATGAAAATCACCAGCTTTCATATAAAAAAAGAATCATCTAAATTAGTTCACCGAGAAAAGAGGTAACACAAAAAAACACAGTCGAGTCGAATTGACTACCTCTTCCTTTTTGAAGTCGGTTGAAAAAAGGTAATAGGCTGGACTCCTAGATAGAATCCGTTTCCGTTTCTGTCTTCAAAGGAAATTTATTTACTGGATGCATTATTATATATTTTTTGATTTTGCGAAGATAATTAGTCTGTAAGCCTTCCTAAAATAATAAAATTCTTTATACATAAATATTGATTTCACTGTTTATTAGATGTAAAATCATTGCAATATAGGTATTCATTTTACTAATTATATATTTAAAAAAAAAGTTTATAATAAAGGTGATGTTTTTTGCGTGCTGGCGTGGCGCACTTATTAATTGACGAAATTTTGTTTTTACTCAGGTTCCTCCGATTTACATAGTATGAACATTATTGTGTTGAGAATGCAGTGGCGGAGGCATAGCATAAAGCCAGTGACTATTCTCAGCCCGCGAGTCCCACGTCTGATAAATACTCGCGAAATATATATATTTGGACTGCTTCGTTAAGGCCTGTTTTCACTTTGATTAGTGCGAGTGTAGGTGATTAATTTTGCGGTTGATTACTGCAGGTGTGTAGTGTAAGTAGTGTCCAATTCTGTTTAGTGGCTGTGTTTAGTAAATTCAGTTGTTAGCAGTCGACAAGGAAGTATGGACATTTTTTAAACAGAAGCGAGCGTCCGACGCTAAACGCTAAACACTTAGCACTGCTGTCCAAACGTGTTTAGTGGCAGGCATGCTGCGAGTGAGGGGAAAAGACGGGCGCGCGGGGCGTGACACTCGCAGTCCACTCACAAAGAAATAGAACACGCTTCTAATCACTTTACTACACAGGTTATTAATCACTTGCACTAATCAATCGCTGTCCACACGTGTTTACTCTTAAACACTAAGCACCTGCACTAATCACTAATCAAAGTGAAAACAGGCCTTAAGTCTAACCAAGTAACAAGGAATATTTTTTTGGCTAGAACTGGTACAACCTAGCTTATTATTGCCCCGTACCAGTTTGACGTTGAGTTTCGGGATATACTGTATATTTGTACTGCCTCGTTAGTCTATCGTAAGCGCGACTGGTTATTGGTGGACTCACTATTGGTCACAGGTTCGAATCCTGGGTCGGGTCAAAATCAGTTTTGGGTTTTTCTGTCGAGATATGCTCAGTAGAAGCCTGGCGTCAGGAAGTTGGTGGTGTTTTATCCTCGTGCTTCGTAATGTACTTAAAGCGTTGGCCCCGCTCCAGATCTCTCTTCGGTTGTGTCGAGTTACCGACCTGTAGGACTATGAAAGTGAGGGAAAAGAGAGGGCACCTGTGTTTGCACTCACAGTCGTGCACTATAAAACTATAATCCTGTCTTGCGTAGATGGCTTATCTCCATTGAGACTGACCGCCGTGAACGATATTCGCCCTGGAGGACATTGTTACATTTTCTTTAATGAAAAAGAGGGGCGTAGCTACTGCCGTATCAGCCGTATCAATGTTACGGGACCCCCGGGCTACAGAGGCCCCGGACGTATGTAAGCAAAAATTCTAAGGACTTCTGTGGGACAGGATGTTGGTTTGAATTGTTTGGCTAGCTTAG